ACCCAACGCTTGGCGCAGTGGCAGCTGCAACTCAGCCGGCCGGCGGCCGCCGTGGGCGCTAACATCGGGGGCGGGGCCGGGGCGGGGCTTATCCGGGGCGGGGCCCGCGCCGGAGGGGGCGGGGCGAGCACGGGAGCAAGAGCGTTATGGGCCACTTGGCTACGCATCTCGCATGCTTCTTGGAGTCCTCTGCTTTTATTTATTTATTTTTATTTATTTTAAATCGTAGCCTCAACAACTATAATCTGTCGCCTTCCAAAGGATCGTAAAGCCCCTGCTTTTGGAGAATCCGTTCGAGGGACCTGCTTTCTAAAAGCAATGACATCAGCCCCAGCGGTGTGAGCTGCCCTCCTTGTGTGATGCGTGTGTCCTTGAAGGGTGAACAGCTCGTCTGGGTCCCCCAGGAATCCCGGGAGAGGCCTGTTGTCCCCATCTCCACACGACGACCCGATTTTACAGGGGAAGAAACTGAGGCATAAAGGAATGAAGTTACTCTCTTGAGGTCCGGTGACAAAAAAAATGTCAAAATTTGAACCCAGGGGTCTCCTGACAGCATGTTTTCCAGCATCCCTATGAGAACACATACATCTTCCACCGCCACCCCATAAGTGACAAGCGCACACTCGGACTGAGTGTGAGGGAGCAGAGCTGCGTCCCTGTGGAGTGATTGCGCATCCAAGCCCTCCCCGAGCCCTCCTGCTTTCACCTGCTGCATGTGGCTCAAATCTGCCCCCTTCCCTCCACCACCCTGTGCCCCTGGTCCAAGCCACCTGCATGTCCTCCTGGACCACTGCTCCTTCCCTCATTGGTCTCCCTCTCAAGCTGTCTCCTCCCTTCCCCCATCCATTCCCCACCAGCAGCCTTGATGTTCTGGTCACGGTCTCAGCATGAAAACTCCCCTCCAGGCCCTGCATCCGCCTCCCCACTGCCCCAAACAGAAACCCCCTGCTCACTAGCAGTCACTTCCATTCCGCCCTCCCTCTGGCCTTTGGCAACCACCAATCTGCTTTCTCTCCCGGTGGATCCTCCTGTTCTGACTATTTCATATAAATAGAACCATACAACATGGGACCTTTCGTGTCTGGCTTCTTTCACTCAGCGCAATGTCCTCAAGGTTCACCCGTGTTGTAGCATGTGCCAGCACCTCATTTCTTTCTATGGCTGAGTACTATTCCTTTGTGGGGACAGACCACATTCTGTGGCTCCACTCACTGGTGGTGGTCGCCTGGGTTGTTTCGACCTTGTGACCACTGTGAATAGTGCCTCCGTGAGCATTCGTGGTCGAGTGTTTGTTTGAACACCGGTTTTCAGTCCTTTGGGGCATACACTTAGGAGTGGAATTGCTAGGCTATGGGCTAACTCTGTCTTTAACTTGTTGAGGAACTGCCAGACTGTTTTCCACAGTGACTGAACGATTTTACACCCCTGCCGGCAGTGCGCAAGGTTCCCAGTTTTTCCACGTCCCCACCAACAGTCACTTGCTATTTTCCCATTTTGTTTTTCCTATCACCATTCCCGTGTGTGTGCCTAGCTCCATCTTTTAGTTCTTACAACTCTGACCTTCATGTCCTCAAACATGCCACATGCCAGGGACCTTACTTCTTCTTATTTTTCGTTTTTTTCTTTTTGAGACAGGGTCTCACTCTGTCCCCTGGGCTAGAGTGTGGTGGCATCATCATAGCTCACTGCAGCCTCAAACTCCTGGGTGCAAGCGATCCTCCTGCCTCAGCCTCCAGAGTAGCTGAGACTACAGGTACATGCCACCATGCCCAACTAATTTTTCTAGTTTTTGTAGAGATGAGGTCTCACTGTTGCTCAGGCTGGTCTCGAACTCCTGACCTCTTTCCAAGTGATCCTCCTTCCTTGGCCTCCCGGAGTGCTAGGATTACAGGCGTGAGCCACCACGCCCAGCCCATCCTCCTTGCTTCTACTCACTCTCGCCCCAAAACTAGATCAGATACCCCTCTGATGATGCTCTCGATCCCATAGCCTTCCTTTCGTAGCCTCCAATTTGGTCGTAATCTTACATTTCTTTTTTTCACCCATCAGTAAAGTTAGCTGGCCTCAATCAGTTAGGAACTGAAAATCCTGCTTTGTCCGTAAGGCATTTGGGGGCTGATGGGATTCTAGTTGCAGAATTAATATTCACTAATGTCTCCCTGCGGAGCCGTGTGAATCTGGCACGGGACTCTTCGTCTTACGTGGGAATTGTGTCCCTTCTGCCTTGCAATGCTGCTGAAGGTACAGGAAGCTTGAAATATATTCGCTTGGTGTAAACATGACCTCAGCGTGACAGGATGATCCCTGTGCTTGCCAAGCCATTAATTTTTATGTAATAACAACGACCACAACAAACTACATCTCCCCCACATTTTGAGTGGTTCGTAAGGTCAGGTCTGTGGGATTGTGTGAACCAAAAACCTTATAAACTAGAACGTAGTGGTGAGTTCTCTGCGTTTACAGCTCTGCTCCTGCACACGGCTCCAAAGAGCTGAAAATAGAGGATTACAAATTCGTGCAGCGACTTTCTTCCAAGGGACTCCAAATGCTCCCAACAACCTTTAACTCGTGAGGTCATTAGCGGTCAGATAGCACCCTGCCCATCTCAGAGACGGGGAAACAGAGGCCCAGAGATACAAAGCCACCAGGGGGATACCAGGGCACCCCTGATAAAGGAGTATCAGAAGCCAGCACGGAGCTCCTCCCGCCTCTCTTGCTAGCCCATGCACTCTCCATTAGCTTGATTAGGACAATTGATTTATTCATTCTTAGTGGTTGAGAGGGGGGAAAAAAAAAACCCAATATGCCATTTGTGTGATATAAATATCTCTGGAAAAAGCTAAAAAACATTGTGTCATACATATTTTCTTAATAACACAGTCAATCATACATGTCTGTCCAAGTGCATCAACCCAGGAGGGGGGAGGGGGAGGGAAGGGAAATGGTGGGGGTAGGGGTAGGGGGTGGGGAGACTCAGGAGAATGGGCTCCAGAATCCTCAGCCCCTGTGTCGCAAATTTTGCCACCAGCTAGAGATATGCTGGCTGGTTTTTTTCCATCACATATTGCCTTTGGAGAACCTTCTAGATGTCTCAGAAGCTTGATGTTGGGCAGGGTTGACAGGGGGCTGGAATACCTATTAAGCTGACCAGTATTGGAAGAAAAAGATGGGTATTGTCACCTTCTCACTCAATGTGCTCCTTGGACTCACAGAAGGATCTGAATCTCAATGTGAGCCTTCTTCCTCCCTGTCTCCACCCCCATCATTAAAAAACCTTTAATCCCAGTGATTCCTCTGTTAGGAATTTAGCCCAAGGAAACACTAAAAGATGTATAAAAAAATCCAGTTACAGGATGTTCCTTGCAACATGCAGATTATGGTGAAAGATTAGAAACAGCCTCCACATCCAACCAACAGTAGGGGGTAGGGGACAGATAAGTAAATTACATAGCTCATCCTTTCAAACCCTGCTCAAACCCTTTTCTTTTTAAAAGAAAAAAGACTGGAAGGAAATTAACCACGATGATCATGGAGTTTGTCTGTGGGTGTAGAAATATGGGTGACTTTTTTTTTTCTTTCCTAGAGTAAACCCTTGTCTTGGATGATCTACTCCAAACCAACTTAAATTGGGTTGACTCTAATTGGAAATTTTGTGACATCATTAAGGTTTAGAAGGCATAAATAGAATGGGAAGATGTGCTCCAAGAGGGAAGTGTAGCATAGAGCCAGAAGGGGAGTAGTCTCACTGGGGTGAAGGATTCTCAACACTGTGAGCTAGGAAATAAGGTGGGATTTGTGTACAGACTGTGTATTTTTTAAAAGCTAAGGAGAGGAAGGTACACTGGATGTGACAGGCAATTGGGAGCTACTGTAGATTCTTCAACAAGAAAAGATGTGGCCAGTTCCAAGTGAGATCAGGAAGAGACAGTCCAAGAAGCAAATAAGCTGGGAGTGACTCTGGTGGTGTCATAATTCTTTTATGGAAGGATCCGGTTTCATTGAATTTGCAGGTAAAAGTTTCTGGGCAATCATAGAACTCTAAATTTGCAAGAAGTCTTGAGACACCTCTCAGTTTAGGGCTAGAACAACTGCAGTTCCGGTCTCAGGGCAAAATGGTGGCCAAGTTGGTACTGAGCAAGGGTCCTCATTCCTAGCTCCAAACTCAGCCCATCTCTCTGTTACCTGGGATCCCAGTTCTAAGATGTTAATGACATGTGCAGCCTTCTTAAGAAGACCTAAGACCCTGTCCCACTTCCTGGAGTTCCCACCTAAAACTCCATCTTTTCATTCATTCATTCATTCATTCATTCATTCATTCAACATTGAACTTCCTATCAGGGACAAACACGATAAGTGTTAGAGTGGAGTGGACGGAGGACAATAGTGGTAGATCAGTAGATATTTGTGGGAGGGAAGGAGTGAGGGAGAGAAAAAGAGGCAGGAGAAGATAGCTCCTCCCCTCCCATATCTCAAGATCTAATTCGAGAAACAGACCCGGCCTTTTACAGGGATGAAAGCCGTACTTTCGTGGAGATACGAACTCATGTTCTACAGGCCCAGGCAAGACACTTCCCAGAACCAAACTTAAGAAAGCCAACTTCCAACATCTTTAAAAAGTATATAATCCCACTAACGTTTATTGAGCCCCAACCATGGGCCGGATTGGGGATTAAAATATCCGCTGTTTCCCCATGATTTGTGTATTGAACCCCAAATGAGCAGGCAATCCTTATGGAAGGAGAAAAAAAAAATAGGGAGTCATCAAGCTTCCAGAAAGAAAGGATGATGCTAGTGTCTCTGGGCAATTTGGGCTTCTTTTTCGAACTCCAGCTGCCTTGTTTTCTTTTTCCTTTTGCCCGTGGGCTCCAAGGTCCGGGGCTCTGGACCTCTGGTCGGGAGGAGTGCCAAGCGTGAGCCACGTGGAGTCAGACACCCACAGCCTCCTCTTCCCCACGTCCCTTTCCAGTTACTCAGGCTTCTCAGGCCGTTTGGGCTTTGCATTGCCAAGTGGATGTAAATCAAGAGCCCGCCCAGCCTCTTTGAGAACCACCGTGGGACATTGCAGAGCCTGTCCCTGGGGTGTGCCGGGAAGGACCCGGGGGAAAGAGGACTGAGGAGAAAGTGACATGTGGTTCCTTTAATCACCGGGTGGAAGGAGAGAGGAGGAGAAAGTTCAAACAGAGCCCTTGCGAGCCGGGAAGGCTGCTCTGAGCTCCACTGTTTAAGCAACTGCTGTTGGCATCGCCAGGGTTTGTCTTGGCCCGAACCTGTCCTGGGAAACAGAGGGACGCTCATGCTCTTGGAATTCGCTCCCCTAACGATTCACTCAGCAGCTCGGGCTTAGGCGGACAATTAAAAAACAGAAGGAGAAAGAAAGAAGAAAAGAAAAGAAAAACCACCAGGCCACTGGGTAAGGACGCCCTCCCCAAACTCCCTGGAGCATGGAGAGGGCTGGGGGGAAGGGAGGAGGAAGAGAGGAACTTTCTGAGCTTCTACAGAGAGAAGTCTGCCAGCTACGAGCAGCCATATCCTAGCGTGGGATTCCGGGTGGGGGGAACAAGAAGCTGCATTCTGGAAGGGTCTAACTCGAATGCTGCCTGAGGTACAAGGGGGTGTCAAACACTTGCTTTATATTGAGTGCTTTCCATGTGCCAGCTGTGTGCACATGTTCCGTCCTGTATCTTGTTGGTCCTCACAGCAGCCCTGTGAGCAGGCTCTTCAGACCCATTGTACAGGTGAGAAAGTTGAGACCTGACCCACCACTGACCTGCCCAAGGACACACAGCCGCCAAATAGCGGGTGTATCCAAATGTGAATCGAAGTCTTCTGTGACTTCCAGGCCATGACCACTCTGCCCTCCTGAATTTAGGTGTGGCTTGATCTCCGAGTGCCACCCTAGGAATGTGACCCGCCCCCATAACCTCCCGGATGACATGGAAAAACCAAGCAGTCATTCTTCCATCATGATAAGACAAGACAGTGACCCTACAGGCTTCCAGCACACTGCAGGGAAATGCCACTCGATTAATAGGGGTCCTTGGACCCCTCAAGGGTAACGTAAGTAGAATTTAGGGGTCCATAAATTTAGCTGGGGGAGGGGGGAATGACATCTTTATTCTCACTAACCTCTAACCACATCACAGCATTTTCTTCTCTTAGGAATGTAGGTGACACAGCAGTGTGTGATATCCACAGTGTCATGCACCCATGCAAATCACAGATACTTTTGTGTCACTAACAGTTGCTGCAGATATATGACAATATTACAGGTGCTCCTTACAACTTGGAAAATAGAGTCATAGAAAGAGTAGGGGCTCAATCTTGCCACTTCACAGATAAGAAGCTTGCGTGTTCCTATTTTACAAACTGGGTTTTTAAAAAAATATTCTGACATCTGTATTATAGCATAAGCGGTTTCCTTTGCAAGTCTGTGTGCTTAATTTATATATTGAAACGCCTGGCTCAGAGAAAAGGAGTCCGTAGGCTCGCCCGGGCTGCCCAGGGGAGTCACAGCCTGTCCTGGGAAGTTGAGTTGAGGCTCCTACTCCTCTTCAAGAGTTTGCAGTGTAACCGGGGAATGAGACAAACACACTCATCAAAATGTATGATGAAATCTTAAATGTGAAAGAAAGAGTGAACTCTTTCAGGGCCAGGATTGCTTTATTTTTATTTTTATTTTTTTAACTTTTATATCCACAGCACCCAAAACCGTGCCAATAATCAATAGCGTTAGGTTGCCAATAAATAGCGCCAAATGCATGCGCTTAACCATCTCAACTTAGATTTCTGGCCACTTCCAAGCTGAGTGATCTTGAAGGAGTGATAATTACCTTTGTGTGCCTTGATTTCCTCTTGTGGAAGGTGAGCTTAACAAAACCTTTTTCTCAGTGTTGTTGACACGATCAAGGGAGATCAAAGGTTTGTATGCCCCTAGCCTAGTCCTGGGCACCTCAGATGACAAAGGTCTGCTCAACCTGGCGACAGACTCGGGCTTAGTTTGGTTTTCCTGGAGACCAGAGGCTGTTTTTCTTGTTTGTTTGTTTTTGTTTTTGTTTTTGTTTTTCTTTAGTTTTTTTGGGAATTGGGGCTATGGGGGTGAGATTTTTGTTTGTTATTGTTTTTCTTTTTTAAATGAAAAGTTATATCGAAGTGAAAACTTATTTATTTACTTTGGACATTGCAACTGATAGGGCCCGTGTTTATGTTTATATTTTACCGAGATACCCAAAATGCCCCGTGGAGTCTGGACTGCATCTCTGACCCAATTATTGTCCTTTCTAGGAACTGTGAAAAGACGCAGGCGTGTTTATCTTCTGTGCCACAGACTGGTCTGCGTGAGCTCAAGTTTCCAGAAGGCCCCCCCACCCCCGTGGCCCCCAAATCTTTCTTCCCTCGGACACGCACGTCAAGGAACCCGTGCTGCAGACTCCAGCCCTGGGGCGGAGGTGAGTCCCGTGAGGAGGGTCATCGCATGAGCTGGTGGCTGGGAACCCGTCACGTGGGCCTGCTTGTCCCCGCGCGTGTCTCTCTCTGACAGCCCCGGCACCCTGCACCACCTCTGTGAAGATGGCATCGTCTCACCTCCGCTGTGGCGAGTGGAGACGGGTGCAATGGGTGGAGGAAGGTCTGGACGCTCAGGTCCTCGGCCACCGGCCCCACCGCCCGCCCGGGTGGGACGTGCCACCTCCGAGAGCACTGCCTCGTCTGGCCAGCGATTGCTCCCGCGCTCTCTTGCTCCCGCGTGTGCTGGGAAGATGCCTGCGTCTGCAAGTGCTGGTGAGGGCCTGGAACAGCCTTTGAAGGTCTCCGGCCAACTGGATTTAATTGAACTGCAGTTCCAGGAGCCAGCAGCATTTTCCTAAGAAAGCGATACAACTTGGAGAAGTCCCTCGGCACTCCCGTACAGCCCATTGCCTGCGCTTCAGACCGCTTCATAAAAGCCGCCACGGGCAGTGTCCTCTGAGGACGGAGCCGGCGGGCGAGACATTTTGGGTTTTAAAGCTGCATCACTGTCTCATCCTTCTTGAGTTAAGTCATTGCCCTCGTGCTTGCTTCCCAAAGCTGAAGACATGGGGCCTTTATCTTTTCGTGTGTGTCTTTCGTTGCTTTCCTGGTTCTTTCTTTCTGTCTTTTTTCTTTCTTTCCTTTCTTTGCTTTTTCTTTCCTCCTCTCCTTCCTCTTCCCTCATCCCTGGCGCGCGTTCTTCCTTCCTTCCTTCCTGCTCGTGCCTTCCTTCCTTCTTCCTTTCGCTTTCTTTCTTTGCTTTGCTTCTTCTCTTTCTCTGTTTCTTTCTTTCGTCCTGTCTTTTCTCTCTTTCGCGTTCTTTTCTTTCTTCCTTTCGCTTGTCGTTTCTTTCTTTCTGTTCTTTTGTTCTTTCATTTCTTTCTTTCTTTCTTTCTTGCGCTTCCCTCGCCCTCCATCCCTTGCCCACTCTCCTCTCGTCCTCTCGCCCTTCTCTGGCTTTGCTTTCTGTTCTTTCTTTTCTTTCTTTCTTTCTTTCTTTCTTTCTTCTTTCTTTCCTTCTCTTTCTTTCTTTCTTTTCTTTCTTTCTTTCCCTCCTCCTCCTCGCCTTCCTCTCTCTCTTTCTCTCTCTCTTCTTTCTTTCTTTCTTTCGTTTCTTTCTTTTTCTTGTCTTTCTTTCTTTCTTTGTGGCTTTCTTCCCCTCCCCCTCCTCCCTTCCGCTGCCTGCCCCCGGCTGGGTCTTCCTTCTTCCGTTGCCTTCGCCTTCCTTCCCTGCCTCCTTCCTCCTTCCTTCCTGTCTTTCTATTCTTTTCTTGTCTTTCCCTCCCTCTCTCCCTCCCTCCCTCTCTTTCTCTCTTTCTTTCTTTCTTTTCTTGAGACAAGGTCTCACTGTGTCTCCCAGGCTGGAGTGCAGTGGTGCGATCATAGCTCACTGTAACCTTGAACTCTTGGCTTCAAGCTATCCTTCCACCTAAGCCTCCCAAAGCGCCGGGATTACAGGCGTGAGCCACCGCACCCCGCCAGGACCTTCGCTTTGTCAATGTGGTTTCTTGGATGGCCCCAGAGGCTACCATCTTGGGTAGCCGCGCTCTCACCAGCTCAGGGTTAGAGCAGCTTTACAGCAGCAGCCAAATTTCGATTGCATTACTGCATTAAGTAGGGTCAAGTGGTGGCCGAGGAATACTTCTAGACACTTCCAAACATACTTTTCAAGCATTCATTCTGCAACTATTGAGCCCTTATTATATGCTAGGGGCTCGGGGACATCATGGTGAGCAGGACAACGTGGCTCCCACCTTCATGAAGCTTTCTATGGTCAAGGGAGAGAGAGATAATAAATACATAAGCAAATTAAGACATAGAACAGTTAGAGATTGTTGTAAGTGCTAAGAAGAAACAGATGGCTAGAGGATAGTGGAGGGATATTCTTAGATGGAGTCAAAGAAGAGCTCTCTGAGAAAGTGACATTCAAGATGAGAGTTGAAGGATGAGACGGAGCCAGGCAGGGAAGAGCCAGGGCAGGAATATTCCAAGGCAGCAGGAACGGCAAGTGCAAAGGCCCTGGGGTGGGAAAAGCTTGGCAGGAGCTGGGCACCGGCAGAAGGTCGGGGTTGCTGGAGTGTAATGAACAAGAAAGACAGTGGCGAGAGGTAGGAGGGGGCGAATGGCAGGGAGGAGTCTCTGCTTTGCCGTGAAGACCACGGCAAAGAGTTTGGATTTTATTCAGGGGGGTTGGGGTGGGGGGCTGAAATTTACATGGGGGGAGGGGGGATGCATCGCTATGAATTTGTTGAATGAATGAATGGTTTAGAAATATTCTTCCGTTTAGAAGTGTAGGCATCCACGTTACATCCCTGTCTGCACGTCCCAGCTCTCCGTAGTGCCATTACTCAGGTGGCCTTTGTGCACATACGCCTATAAATAAGCTCTAAAGAAGTGGCGATCAGAAGTCCCAGGCACAGGTCCAGCAGGGCGCTGCGTTGCCTAACTCCGAGGGCGTGGCGGCACTCGACTGCGCTCTCTGTCCATGCGCTCACAAAGCGCAACAGAAAGCTGGACGAGTCCTGCGATCGGGGCTGCTGGCCCGGCTCTGGTGCTCCCGGCTGCATGGCCCGGCACGTGGCGTGCCCGCTCTGGGTCTCGAAAGAGGACAGACACCGGCCGCCACACCTACCTCGCTGGGTTGTGAGAACGTCCAAAGCAGAGAACCTAACTGGGGCCCTCGGATGGGCCTCGGGCCCCAGCGGACACCCTGCCATTGCATAAAAAGTGAGCACTGTGTGCATGTGCATGTGCATACAAAAATAAGTGCATTTTTTTCCAAAGAGAGAATCTCAAACTCTCTCCTCAGTTTCTCAAAGAGATCCATGACCCACCAAAGCTTCAAAGGTATTATTAGACGCCCGGTAGGGGGAACTGCCGTTGGCTCTTGAAGTTGCTCCCTTGCTCGAGATCTAGTTCAACATCTGCATGTTGGGGTTGTGTTTCCTCCCCGAAGTCTGCAAGCCGCTCTGCTTGGTGGTTGGTGGGAGGCTGTCGGCATTGGCATTGACCCTGGCCGCCCCAGCTCCCGTCAGGCTGGCACCTGGCTCCCGCGGACCTGCCCAGCAGTGAGCCATCGGCCCAGGGCCCTGTCCTCCCCACCGTCCAAGCAGGAGTCCCCGAAGGTCCTCCCTGCTGCACCGAGTGTGGCCGAGAGTGGACGAAACGGGCTCCATGTGCCATCCGGGAGCCAGCGGTCGCCTTACCCCTCGCAGGTGATAAGATGCCTTAACCCAGTTCCGAGGCTACTGCACGCTACCCCCAAGGAGCCATAGCTAATGCTGGGGACGGCTGGCACCGCGTTAAGCGGACCAGGAAGATGTTTTTGTTTGCAGGGAGAAGAGACGCGAGTGCTTTTAACTTCCTCCCACCCGCAGAGGGCTGACCCCGGGCGGCTGATGTGTGTTTGGGTTACACGCACACCCGGCGTAGCACCCAGTGCATTACAGGCACTTAACAAATGCAATAAATAAATGATGGTCATTTCCAGCCCATACACCCACCGCACCCTCTGGGGATTGGAAGGCAGTATGCTCACCTCTCATGGAGCCATTCCCAACTGGTTCCCCCACCTCTTCCCGACAAGTAATAAATTTAATGATACCTTTCGTGGAGGTTGCATCTCTCTTCTCAAGAACTCCAAACCCTTGGCTGTAATTATCTCCTCATACTCGTTTCTGAATTAGATTCAAAAGGGTCAGGGGTAAGGGAAATTCCACCCCCCCTCACCCCTTCCCACCAGATCCATGTTATTTCAGGGAAACTGAGGCCCAGCTAGGATAGGAAATTCTATGTCCAGTCACAGGCAGGTGGGACTGGGAACCAAGACCTGCCCTCCCTCCCGCCCCCAGTCCCATTCCTGAGTTTGATCTGCCCTAAGACTACTGGAATCTTTTTGCCTGGAGGCAAAGCAGGTCTTGCTAACTCTGCTAATGTCGAACAGCTCCTCCTCGGTTCTTGAGGTCTGGGAAAATCCCTGGCGTGGGAAGATACCCACGAGGAAATAGAAGTCTCTCAGTGTGCAACCTGCAACCTGGGACCCCAGGGAGTTCAAATGAAGTCCCCTGCAACACTCCCCAGGGGGCGAGAGTCGGGGATGCAGGCTGGGCTTGGGTCTGCATGGCAGCTTTGACTGGTTCACCTTCCTGGGCTTCCAGAACCAAGCCCAGGGGGGCGAGAGGCTTTGTGGTGGGGAAGACTGCAGTCCAGGAAACCGCCTGGCTGCTCCTGCTTAACCTAACGCAAAGAGAGAGTGAGTTGGGAGTGTCTGGCCTTGGTCGCCTCATCGATTAAATGGGTTTAAGATTCGCCACCCTGTGCGCCTCTGTTGAGACAGGCACGCTGGTGAGATGACAGTCTTGTGAACTTGGCTGGCACAGCGGGGCACAGCCTGCTCTCTGGGGGTCACCTGTAGAACTTTGGAGCCGGAGGCAAACCTGTGTGTGTTATCTTATTTGGAACAAGCAAGGGTCTTTGCAGACATGATTAAGATCTTGAGATGAGAGGATCCCCTTAGGTAACCGAGGTAAGGCCCTAACTGCAATCGCCGACGTCCTTATGAATTAGACGTGCAGAGAAGAGAGAAGTCCATGTGAACACGGCGGCGGAGATCGGAGAGATGGGGCCACAAGCCAAGGAATGCCAGGAGCCACCAGAGTGGAAGAGGCAAGAAAGGGTCCTCCCCCAGAGCCTTCAGCGGGATTGTGGCCCTGAGGACACCTTGATTTTGGACTTCTGGACTCTAGAACTGTGAGCGAATAAACTTCTGTTTTTCTAAGCCGCCAGTTTGTAGGAATTTGTCACAGCCGCCCTAGGAAACCAGCACGTGAGGGGTGCAAACTCGCACTCCGTGTTGGTGGCAGAGCCAGGCAACCTGTCTGCCCATCCAGCGTGTGCCACGCAGCCACCTAGCCTGGCCTCCCCGGCAGATTGTCCCATCAGAACATGTATCTCAGTTTTAATCATGTGATGTGTGAGGGGGCTGACTTCTTTCATGTTTGTCCCACTAGGACCGTAAATGTCAGGGAAGCAGGGCCTGTGTCTGTCTTCGCTTATTGTTGTAGACCCAGAGCCTAGCACAGTGCCTGGTGCATAGTAGGCATGCACACACCTTTTCTTTTTTTTTTTTTTTTGCATCTTTTGCATTTTTTTTATTGCAGTAAACTATGCATCACGAAGTTCACCACTTTAACCATTTTTAAGTGTACAACTCAGCGGCATTAAGTACATTCACAATGTTGTGAGACCACCATTACATGAAAACATTTTTTGTGTTTTTTTTTTTTTGAGACAGAGTCTCACTTTGTTGCCCAGGCTAGAGTGAGTGCCGTGGCGTCAGCCTACCTCACAGCAACCTCAATCTCCTGGGCTCAAGCAATCCTCCTGCCTCAGCCTCCCGATAGCTGGGACTACAGGCATGCGCCACCATGCCCGGCTAATTTTTTCTATATATTTTTTTTAGTTGGTCAATTAATTTCTTTCTATTTTTAGTAGAGACAGGGTCTCACTCAGGCTGGTTTTGAACTCCTGACCTTGAGCAATCCGCCCGCCTCGGCCTCCCAGAGAGCTAG